GCTTTTATACTCTTAACAAAGCGTGATCTTAAGTCATTAATTACATCACAATAACTTATTATATTCATTGGTGCAAAGCAATTAATGTCAATACAATTGGCAAAAGTTTTACAGAAATTTAATAAGGCCCGTATACACATCTACTTAAGCATGTAGTCTAGCTTAGAAAAATTTTCATGTCTCTTTTCTAATCTGTTTCCATGCTGATGGCCTTGTCTTCTTCCTTGCTTTGGATACACTTGAAAATCATCAATTGTTATTTCTTCTAACTCAGCTTTGCCTGCAGGCCAGCTGTTACTACTCCTGACTGACTGCTGTGCATAAATTGGCGGTCTAGAAAGGGGACAATAGGAAGAAATCTGTTGCTAACATCAGAGGTATTAATTTATTTTCTGTATTTGTAACAGCTTGTCAGTGACTTGGGTGAAAGGCCAAAAAACCCCTTTGAAATGGGGAAAAGTGTCTGCATAATGAGCAGTGCTGGGGTTTTCCATTCAGTTAAAACAGATCTTTAACTGCACTGCCAGTCAATCTACATGGCCAGGTCTGGCTAGAAAATCTCAAGTGAGAATTCTGTTCTTCAAGGGGACCAAGAGGGGTTGCTATTTGGATTTTGAACATTTACTATGATGAAAAGCTGTATTCACTATGGAAAATTAAATATTTGCTTCAGAGCATGGCAATAGAACATATTCAGTCTTGTCTCTTTCTCTAAAGAGATGTGACTTAAGAAATCAGTTCATTTTGAACAGCATTACCTTTCCAAGTGGAAAATTATTCAGCCAAGGGCTCTCCAATGAAATTTATCATTATTTCTTCAGCTTCTGAAAACAATACCAGAAGTTAATAGCAACTTATGTAGATGTATTCTGATCTTTTGCAGGGCAGAGAAACTAAGCTGACCCTACTTTTCCACCTGTAAAACTAATTTCCTTTGGCTGAAGTCAGAGTTTACAGCTGGCTCCTAGCAGTGCTTTGCACACTCCCAAACCTCCCAGCTGCTGTGAGGGAATAGGGGAATGGGGGAAGGAAAATGAGCTCATCTGGGATGAAGATCAGTCCCTGTTTAAGCTTTCAGGTGCTCCCCATGGACCCTTTCACAGGTGGGTTTGGATGTCTGAGGAGGCCTGGAGTCTCTCAGGCGTTTGTGATGGCTCAGGGCTGGCTGTCAGGCAGACCTTGTGAGTTGTGTCCCTGCCTCTGGAATACCGCACAGGAGCGGAAACCTGGGATTTCTACACAAATTGTGAAGGTTTCTTTGTCAGGTTCTCTCCCCTACCCTGCTGCTTTCCCTGCAGTTCCAAGCCTTCTCCTGATCCCTGCTCTGCAGAGGGTTATCAGAGCTGGTCATACATAACCAGCCTGCCAGCCCTCCCTCTGCCATCCTACTAGCAAGTCTTCCTCTCTGGCACAGTCACCTTCCCTGATCCATCCCCATGTTCTCTGCTGTGCCCGTCCTCCCCATGTTCAGGGTGCCACAGCAGTGGAAATGATCTTACCATGCCCTTGGAAAAGGACTACTCTCTTTTTTTAACCATTAATAATTTATGGAATGGAGCTACCTTATCTGAGATTATGTCCTCCTCTTTCTTTCTTCTTCTTCTTCCTTCTTTCTTCTTCTTCCTTCTTTCTTCTTCTTTTTTCTCTCTTGTTTTACTTATCAGGACAGTGCTGCCCATTGTGGTTTCTCCTCCCTGAGATGTTTGCAGCCCTCACCACCTTTGCCTGCCTTGTGGTTTATCCTTCCCCTGAGTCACAGTTTCAGCAGCAGCCTAAGCCCTGCTGGGAACCCCTTTGCCATCACCGCTGTTGCTCTGTACATTGCTGCCTACAGAGCTGATAATAATCCCTGCAGGGAGCTGCTGCACTCAGGACTTCTGTGGCAGCACCACCCATGTGGGAGGTCTTGCTGAGGACAGAGTTGGCTGCAATTCCCTGCTCCTATGAAGCTACAGCTTGGAAGAGTGAATTTTGACTGTTTCTGCTGCTTCATTCAAGGGACTCTATTTCTCCAGAATGACATCCTCCTAGTTTTGTGCTACTGGGAAATGTCACTGCCATGTATGACTCTTTTTTAAATTTGCTTTAAAGTCAGTACTTTAGCAATATTTTCCTATTTTCCTGAATGACCCAGTTAGCCTTGTTCATACATGATGAATTTGTATTCAAATTTTTATCCAGCTCACCTGCTGGATGGGCTGAGGATTAAGTTGAATAAATTATATAAATTATGGCCGTCTTTAAGATGAGTCTCCATCCCTTTATCACTTGTACTTCCAAGTGTGTTGGAAGTGTTTGATAGAAAACGCTCAGTTAATTTAGATGTTGCATGCATGAGGTTTGACAACCATTTTTTGCCTCTTAGATGGAGTTTTAGTGGAAGCTGGACTGTGGTTTTGGTGGATCTCTCTGGTTTGTTCTCCTAGGACTTAGAAGAGCAGTTCTGTGTTCCTGCTGTCCCTGCACTGCTGCAGAATGATCAGCCCTCCCTGGGAGGAGAGAGCATCTGCAAAAGTTGAAGGATGAACCTGCGGAAATATTGCAAGAATCTGCAAACTACAGAGATACTCACTCAACCTCTACATGAATGTGCTCCCTGTACTTCTACTGTAAAACCTTGAGGAAGGTGTTCTAGCAAGTTCTGGACACTTGCTAGTGTTTTAAAGGCAGTATTCCCCATGCATTCTTCCTTATGTGGAACACAAGAAAATCATCCATGTGCAGGTTGAAAGGTCACCAGGCACCAATGCAGCATTGTTTACAGATACGTGCATGTTTCCATGCATGTCTGTGGCCTATCAGATAGTCTTGCCGGGGTGACATCTGTCAGGAGGTTAGCATAGGAGATTTATGAGATAAAATGGTCACCAAAAGTAGTCTTCCTTTTTACTCTAAGTTTGATTACACCACAGTGTCCTGTAGAGTGCACCTGGTTCTTGGGACATTGGTCTGCAACAAAAATAAATTTAGGGGATTTTATTTAAGAACATTTAAAAATGTTTGTTTTCTCAATGTTTGGCATGCAGAAGTTAAAAAGAATACACCAGAAAAACTGTTACTAAATAATTCATTGTATGTTTCACATTCAAACTTAAATTGTATGCTATTTTCTCACTGAGCCCTACTCCAAGTATGGAATAATTCTGCCCTAAAAATAAATCACTACTGTATAATGAAGGGAACTGTTTTCTGTAGGGCCTGACTTACACAGCTATGAAGTGATGGGGTTACAAGAGGAAGAGAGAGGACCTTCCCTTGATCATGGAACAGGGACCTGGCCCAGCAGTTTCTTTCTCCATCAGTGATCCCATGCTTAACCAGTGAAACCCAGAGCCCCCTAGAGAGCTGTTCCCTGTGAGTTTCTCATGGCCTAGCTTGATACCTACTTGCAGAAATGCCAAGTACTGTCAGCTGCAAAAGGCTTTGGAAGCACACCCCTGAACCAGACATCCTGCAAAAATCTATCCGAAAAAAATGGGTCATTGGCATCAAGCAGGATATGAGTTGATTTATCTGTTGTGGCTCCTTATGTATAAATTGCAAATTTTATTATGAATTGTTTTACCTCTCCAACTCTTTCCATCAAAGGATGCTGACATAAAATGATGTTTACGAGGTACTGTAGCAAGCACTGTTGAAGAAATGCCAGCGAGGAAGTGCCAGCACTAAATGTGGCCTAGGGATGCATATTTAAGAATGGATGTGTGATGATTGCTGGCTTTCACATCGGTAAGCATCGTGCATGCCGTGCTTCGAAAGAAGACGCATTCAGCTTAAAGGGTCTGTTCCTTTATTACATAAAGAAAGCAAAAGCACAGAATAAAGATTCGCTCACGATTTCTGACGTTTCCTAACTTTCGGTGGCTTTAATCTGCGGCCGCAGTGACGGCGGAGCTGCGAGGTTCAAAGGGACAGGCAGCGACGTCACGCAACGTTGCCTGGATGATGCCTCGGGATGGCAGCTCGGGATGGAAGCTCGGGATGGCAGCTCGGGATGGCAGCTCGGGAGGACAGCAGCGGGAGGACAGCTCGGGAGGACAGCTCCTCCGCTGCGACGCGTGCTGTCACCTGCGCTCCGGCAGCCCCGGCACTCCCGAGCGGCGCTCCCCCTGTGCGCCCCGCTCCCTTGTCCCTGTGCCGTCCAGCTCCGCCGGGGCTGTGTCCCCAGACCCCGCCGAGGCAGCCGCGGAGCTGCGTCCGCCCGCGCCCTCTGGGGCTCCGTGTGCTATGGCTGTGAGCAGGGAGGTGAAAACACTGCTCTTATCAGAATTCAGATTCTGCACTTTGCTCTTCTCCGATGTTTAAACGCACTCAGCAGCATCAACTTACCTACCAACTTTAACACTAAGGAATGCTATCACTTCATTTTCCCCTTTAAATCTACCCATAGGTGTATGCAGATTTTATTTGAGACACTTCTTGCTAAGGCAAGTTTCTTCGGGGGTCCACGACATCCCCAGTCTTTCCCGCCCTCTTTGAGTCAAATCGTGATTCCGATGCTGGTTCTCCGCTTGGTGGGAGGAGCCCGCGCCCCCCGGCTCCTCCCGCCGCGCCTGCGCGGGGCCGCCCTCCCGCTCCCGCTGCCCCGCTCCAGCTCCCGTTCCCGCCGCTCCCTCCCCTCCCCTGCCCTCCCCTCCGGCAGCCTCTGGCGCCGGGAGCCGCCCGCTGCCGCCGCTGCTCCCGCATGGAGCCGCCCGCCTAGGGACGGCCTGCGGCCGCCCCGCCCTCGCTCCAGGTGATGCCGGTGACCGGGGTGACGATGCCGCCGGCGAGGCGGCGGCGGCCGCTACTGATGGAGGAGGCGGAGATGATGATGATGATGATGGTGATGGTGATGATGGGTTCCGCCGCCCGGCCCTGCCCCTGAGCGGCAGGGAAGCGCCAGCGGCCGGCTCCCCTCCTCCCCCGAGATCGCCCGGCTCCCCCCGGCCGCCGCCTCCCCCACTCCGTCCTCGATGTCTCCTCCGCGGCGCGGAGCTCCCTCGGCCGCCTCCCCGCCCTGCCGCTCCTCGCCGCCGCCGCCGTCTCCCTCCCGCCCCGCGGCCCGGCGGCTGCCGGACCCCGCCCGGCGGCGGCACCATGAAGGTGGAAGCGGGGGACAACTCCATGATCAACCTGTCGGTGCAGCAAGTGCTGAGCCTGTGGGCTCACGGCACCGTCCTCCGCAGCCTCACGGGTAACGGGGCACGGCGGGCCGGGCGGCTGCGGGGTGCGCTCCGGGGCCGCAGCACAATGGAGGGCGTGGGGTGGCCGTGGCCGTGGCGGTGGTCTCCCTATGTGTTGCGCGGAGGGAGGGCTGGTGTTGGTGTTCCCGAGTGTCTCCGGGTGCCTGCATGCGTGTTCTGTGAGCAGGTACATCGGGTGTACGTGTGTGTGTGTGTGTGCGCGCCTGCTGTGGGGTCCAGGGAATCGGGCGGGGTCTGTGTGAAGTGCTGGTTGGGCTGGGGTGTGTGCCCGGTGGACATGAGCGTGTGGGATGTGCTCCCTCACTTCTTTATTTCCGTGTATAATAAAATAAGGCTAATGGCATAGGGTGTGTGTATGCGAGTGAAGTGATGAGTACCTGTGCGTGAGTGAAGGTTTGTAGAAAGTGTGTGAGTGTATAAATACGTATGGAAGGCTGGAGTATGTTTGTGGAGGTGGTTGGTTTTTTATTTTATTTTTTCCCCTTGTGGATATATGCTCATTGGCATTTGACAGAGAGCTATAAAAAACCAACTAGAAAAGCACAGAGTTGAATGTGGAGAATCAGAGACTTCCCCCACTACTCCTGAGTATACCTGTGGATAATGAGACCTGTGGGAGTGAATGAGGTGACAGCTGCTTTCTGACAAGTAGTTGTAATCTTAAGCATCTGGGATTCTTAAAGACTGAGCTGTGACGAAAAAATTCTGTGAACCAAAGTAGAGTCAGGTCCTTCACCCTCTGTTAGGAGAGGGGAGCTTTGGCTGGCTTTTGGCAAGAACTGGCTTTTTTCTGCTCAGTCTCAGGCTGAAGAATAGGTGTGGACTACTGTCCAAGACCCAAGGCATACAGTGGAGAGGGGTATCTTCTCTTATTCTGTCCTTGTGTAAAGAAAAACATAAACTTCCAGCTCTGAACAAACAGGGATTTGGTGTCAATAGCAGAGATGTAACTGAGTAAATTCTTTTTGCTCGCTTGTAGGGGGGGTGTATTAGGTGGTGACAGATTAGTGGAAAATGTTGAGTAGGGGTAGGTTTTAAACAGTTATGGAAATATTCTAATATTTATGAAAGAGTATTATTCTAATATTCTAATAAATATGAAAGAGTATTATTTTTGCACTCTATATTAATGGTTAATAGATATATTCTGTTTTCTTTTTTAATCTTTTAGAGGTGGAAGAAGTGTGATGGAAATAGAAGTGGGATGAAAATAGAAGTGTAGCTGAAGTTGAAGCTGTAGCAAACAGAAAGTGATTATCTTTATTGCTCTTTTAACTTTCAGGATGCATCTTAGTGTAATAAAAAAGATTAACCTTTTCATATTTATCTGATCTCTGAACTTTGTAGTGTGTGTCTGATAATTAGAGTTTCCAGGCATTAGTGTCGTGACACACTAAATACTTCTCACTTCCTGAGTAGTTACTTTAACATACCTACTTTAAAAACTTGTACTCTTAAAGGAAAAAGTTCACAATGGATTTCACTTTGCTTTGTGCCAGACATCCTCTATAAAGTTTTTTTTGCTAGATCATTGTGCAGCATAGGCATTTCTATGAAATTCAGTGCTGAGAGTTAAAATCAGTTTGTTTTTCTCAGTGCTTTTCAATAAGATAAGGGCTTGCATAAGGTATTTTTAATGTGGAATGTATTTTCTTTTTAACTTAAAAATATGAAAAATAAGTTTTTATCCATTCTAGTGTTGTTGGAGAATGTGTCACTGCCAGTTGTAGTTGCAGTTTCTAATTTTGTGCTTAAATGATGGCTGCTTTTACAGCCATAACCTGTTGACCTGAATGTTCTCATGGACTGTCAACAGTCCAAAACTTCCTCTGGACTTTAAAATCTTTTCCACAGGTTAGAATATATATTGATATAATCATTGATATTATCAAAAAGCTGAACTAGTTACGAGCCCTTCCTTACTCCTTATCGAAGTAAACTTTGTTCAAGACCAGAAATCCCGTTCTTTTCCCTGCCAAGAAAATAGGTTTGTGAATGAGTTTATCTTCTTTGACTATTTAATCCATTCCCTTTTGCACCTCTCTTAGATATAAGGAGAAACTTCTCCAGAATATTGGGAAAAGAAAATCATTAATATGCCATGTTCCATGAATAGTCAAGACTGCCTCATGTCTACTTTTGGACTTAATGTTGTGATCTGGACTGGACTTTCAAGTTGCATGAGTGAAGATTTATCTCCTTTAGATAAACCATATTGACTATGTTTTCACAAACATGTTGCAAAATGTTATCAGCTTCCTTCTTAAAAATGTATTAATTTTCTGAATTTTTCAACAGGGTCCTGATATGAACTCCAGCCTAAGCCAGGAATGCTTCATACCCTAATAGTTTAGTTTTGGTGGGTTCTTTTTCCTGCCCATGAGAAACTGAAAGATTATTTTTATACCATATATGTGAATCAGGTTCAGCATAAAAAAAGGAAATCCTGTCTTTCGTTCGTGGCCTCAAATACCCAGGAGACCACAGACAAGTTCATTGCTGCCACATACACATCACACCCTGTAACAGCTAAAGCTGCTGGTGTTGTTCCTTTTAGCTGAACATAGGCCCATCACCATGGGGTGCTTGCTTCCTCTCTTCCTGAGCTCTCCTGGGAGGTGTGAGTAAGGCTTTCGGAGTCATGGGAGAGGTGGGCTGGCTTTTACCTCACTCTTTGTTACATCCTCCAGAATATCCCCAGAACACCTCCTTTATATGAGCTGGTTGTGTTTTAGAGTCCAGGGTTTACTAGAACAGATCAGATAGCAGCTGAAATTGAACTGAAAAAGGAGAAAAAAATCCCATTATTAGTATCCAGTAAAATAAAAATTGTTGAAAGGCTGCTTCCACAATAACGGACTTGGCAATATTTCTACTAATAGAAGCTCCTAAGCTCCATCTTGTGCTAATTTGTCCCAGATTGTCTGGATTTTCTTTGCCCCCTATGCTGTTACTTGAGAAGACTAGTCTGTAATTTGAGATTTAAATGATCCTCAGCAAAGTGCTTTTTTTCCCCACTTGGTGCACCAAAAATCTTAGTATCTCCAAAGAACAATTTGACTGTGTTGTTGATAACTTGGCAAGTACCAGTTAATACAATAATTAAGGACAGGACCTGGTGCTGAAGAAAAAAATATAGCATGTAAAGAGCTGAGTTAATTTGCAGTTATTACAGCTGTCACTTCATCTGAGTGCTTTGAGTTGATAAGCTACAGGAATCTAACATTACTGGTTTTTCTAATTCTAAATTTGATGTGTGCTACCTTGTTGACTTAAATCTATATTTTTGTATTCTTAGTACAGGTGCTTATTGCTTAACTACCTCTGTAACTAATAGTAGTAGGCTGGGTACTGGGCTTAGAATAGAAAGAGAGAGACACTTTGCTTTGGAGTAATCAATTTTGATTTATGACATGTTGTAGGCAATCATTATTCATCTGGCAAAACAAGCTTAGAACTAGAGGAAAAGTGCTGAAGATGAAGGACTAAGGAGGTACTCCATGTTTATTGAAGCTGAGTGGCAGTAGGACAGCATATTGATACATTATATAGATAATATTTAAAAATCATTTATCTACTTCAGTAGGATGAAACTGGTGATGGAGTGCAACTTCAAGTTTTGATAAGATGGAAGTGATATGAATGTTATTCTAAGCAATGACATGCTTTAGTAAGACTTTTCCTAATCTTTAATGTTGTGTATGCCTACACTAATTACACTAATATATATATATATATATATATATAATCTGTATCTGTAGTGCATAAGCATATTGTATGCATGATATCTATCTGATATGTATAAATATCAAAATTAACAAAGTGCTCTAAAACTGGTGTGATTGGGCATTAATTACAAGGTATTTGAGTTTGCAGCTTTTCTGGTAGGAAAAAAATCCCCAACTGTGGCAAACCAGAGGAAAGGAGCATAAACACTGTCTTAAATCTTCTTTTCAGTTTAAGCACTAAGAATTTTAAACATGAAAAATGTATCTCAGTTGTTCCTATTGGAAGAGCTGTGACATCTTTGCAATGTACTGAATGTCACTATGCTTGTAAACTACTGGGCCTTCCCTAGTTCCTGTATTTCTCTAGGAACTGTGGAGTTTTGATAGATGTATGTTGTGTTTTGATGACTTCAGGTAATTTGGATACTCTAAAAGTAAACTGAAGTTTTTTTAGGGTCAAGCAAAAGAAGTTACAAGAATTTTGTTGGTTGGGTTTTTTTTTAATTTTATACTATTCATATCTCTTTGAGAGCACGACTGAATAAACTGAGGCTAGGTGAATATTTGAATCGCTCTGACAGATATAGGTAAATCATTGCCTCTATAACAGCAGCTGATGTTGTCAAAAGAGCCAGCTAATTAGAATAGCTGCACAAAGACTGAAATTGGACTGTGCTTTTTTTGTCAGGGTAGCAATGCATAAATTTATGCTACTTAAAAGATCAGTCAGTGTATAGGACATAAATAGCCTGAGACACTTCAGTCTCACTTCCTCTTCCTTAGAGATGGTGCAAGTCAATTCAGCAATCAAACTACTCAGTCATTTTTGAACAAGTGAAGTCTTGGCCATTTGTTTTCAGAGGTCCACATTCTCTTTATTCTTTGGTGGTACCTCTCAGTGTTATTCCCAGCCCATTCTTTGTGTCTTTCAGCGTTCCTCTAACATACTGTTTTTGAGCGTCATCTCTCTTCATGGTTCAGGAGTTAGATGATACTGAATTTTACAGAACATGAATAATTCTCTGCCCTCACCATATCAGGGTAAGAGTGTCTGCATTGTCCTCTAGGTGAATGGAGCTTAAGGTCTCCTGATTTGCTTGAAGGGTTGTCTCTCTCTCCTTACCTTGTTCATCCCTGTTAAATAACTTACTTGGTTGGCTTCATCACTCACCCTACAAGCAGAAGTAAATAAATGACTGGGTTGAGCTAGCAGGCATAGAAAGAGTAAATAAAGGAGGATAAGAAAGGATGGCTTCTGGCCTTTCCTAGGGAACATGCTTGGAAGTGATTTGTCCTGTTTCAGCTCCTACATGATGTTTTAAGCATTCATGATGTTTTAATGAAGGGAGGTCATAGTTTAACAAAGCTCCAGCTGCTTTTGTGTCAAACAAGGAATATTTCTGGATGCTCTCTAATTTCCTTTACAATATGCCTGCTGCTTTTAAGGAGTAGGAGGAGAAAGTGTGTAGCAAAGAACTGAAGTTTATATTTCTTTAGCCAACAGGACATTTTGGTGCTGGTTCTATTCTCAAGCCTCCTGCCCTAAATATAAAGTGAGGGGTGATGTTAATTTTCCTTGAGCCTTATTTGGAACGTAAATAAGACCAAAGATCGTCGCTCACTGTGGAGCTATTTTGTTGTGTAAGAGTTTGTAAATATTTTTGGTTTCTTAGTTACAGGGGAGTAGTTAGCCTTCCATAAGCTTTCATTTTCTTCTAAAAATACAGTCATCCTAGTGAGTTTTCCTAAGACTGGAAGTCATTTGCCTTTTCTACCTGATAAAGGTTGACAATGCCTACAAACACCAGTTTCCTAAAAGGTGATGTAGTGCCTAAAAAATCCTGTAGAAATTACGGGGTATGGCAGTGTCAGATTCCCACAGACTTTCTTGGTGCAGATGGGTTAATAAATCCTCCTATTGTCCAACTGTAGGTCTGATAGGGCTGCCACATTCTATATTGGTAGATCTTTGGCTAATCCTTTTGTTTATGTGCTGCCACTTGAATAAAACAATGGAAATACCCAGGCTGTGCTAGTAATGGACCAGGCCTGGTAGGACGGCAGGAGAGGCTCCCCTCCCACAGATTAGGTCAGCCAGTCTTTCTTAATTTTAGTAGGGAGGTTTGTGGAGTGACTGCTTGACACTCCTGCTGCTGTTCTGTCACAGTAGCTTCTGAGAATGATGAGACATTAATTCAGTGGAACAGTACCATGGTCATTATCCTTTTGCCAAGATTTTTGACACACATCTTGGGGCCAGGGGTGAAGGGATGGAGGATCTGATGAGAGCTGCTCTGAGCCACCCTCAGGATGTGACACATGTACCCAGGCACTCAGAAGGAAAGCTGCACCTTGAACTACAGTTGAAGAATTCATTGGATGTGGATTTGCCAGCCACTTTCCTTGCTGTTCTTTTAAAGGAGTCTTTTGGCTTTCATGATTTAGAGGAGCTGTACGTCCTTGGGCCGAAATAGTGTTTCATTGTGTGAAAGGGGAAGGGTTGAGCAACTCCCAAAGTAGTGCTAAATAAAAAAGCTTAAACTCTCTATCTGTGCTATCTATATACATATCCTACTGACAATGGACTCCCAGGGCTGTGGTTATTGTGTAGCAACATTTTTTTTCTCAGCATCTTTTCACAGTATGTTTTGTGCTGCTCAGTATTTTTAAAGTGAGCTAATTGGGTTGTATTTTTTCCTCAAATAGTTTATATGAGTTAAGCTACATTAATACAGGCTTGGCTCATAAGCAATAAGTATCTTGCTTTTGTAAGGAAACTGGGTTTTTTTGTTTTGTTCTATTTTTGAGGGGAACTGCAGCAAAAACTGAATTAATGACAGTGTCATGGGATTATGGAATATGTACCCTAATTTACTAAATTCTGTAATGATACATACCCACTGTAGCTCACTTAAAACAAAAGGGATTATTTTCTTTTATTTACTCACCCTTTTGATTTGTAGAATGTTTTTAGAAAGTTGACACCAAGTGAGAAAGGTTCTTGAGTTATTGTGTAGCTCCATCGATGGTTCCAGAGTTCCAGCTCTTTTCTTTGAAAGTGCTCATCACATCTGCTATTCTTCAAAGAAATGTTTGTGCTCCAAACATTCTCATGATCTGACGCCCTTTTTAGTAATTCAAATAATAGTCACTGCCTCTCTCTGAAGTTCTGTACTAAGGAATTAGAAGTGAGGAGTTAGATGTGTTAAAATTTCTTGTTAAAATGATAATGTTTTTATTTGCACCTTTGAAGCTAATTTGATGGAACACTCTATTACAGCTCCTGGGTGTAGATAAGCTAAAGTCTTTAATCTCAGTTTTCCCATCTAATGTTACCTGGTGCTGTCTCTTATTTGTGAGGGTGGGGGGTTGGGAAACAACTAAAGATCCACACCTGCCCCAAAATAAAAACTCAGAACCCAAACGAACCCCAAACCAGTTCTTGACTTTTTCCTCCTTCAGTTTTGTGTCAGAGAATATTTCATTCGACAGAAGCAGTTACAATGCCCACTATGAAATTGCAGTCAACACTATTTAAAGAAGCCATTAAAGGAATTATGGCTACTTGTAAAAAAAATCTGAATTAAGATTTTTGCCAGAATCCTTTTCATAATTTTTAATGTAATTCAGCTTTATGACAGACTTTATTCAGTCCTTTATGACAGACTGCTGAAATGAGGAAAGAGTCTTGAGCATGTGCTGATGGTGTCACATGTATCACTTTTAAGATGGAAATCAGTATTTATTTTCTCCTACTGTTGATTGTTTGCAATGTTTTAAAGTTTCTTACTTATGAAGTTCTTGTGTCAAAAACATTAACCCTTTATTTGACTGCTTTCTTTCAGAGATGTGGTACTGGGTTTTCCTCTGGGCTCTCTTCTCCTCTCTCTTTGTCCATGGTGCTGTGGGAGTATTAATGTTTGTGATGCTGCAGAGGCATAGGCAGGGGAGGCTGATATCTGTCATTGTGGTCAGCATTGGATTTCTGGGTTCTGTAACTGGAGCAATGATAACCAGTAAGTCTGCCTTTTGTTCTCGTTTGGGGCTTTTTTGTTGTTTTGGGTTTTTTTCCTTTCTTATTTTACATCTAACTTAAAAAAAAAAAAAAAGACCAAACTGCTTTTCCTAGCTAATTGTTAATTGTTTATTAAGGATTTTTGCAATGGTTATAGAGTGGCTTCCCCTCACCTCCCAAAAAAGAAAAATTAAGCTTTGCTGATGTTCTAGGTGAAATACTATTTGGCAAGGGCATGTGTTACAGAGTTTCTTATGGAATTACATGAATGGCTACCACTCAAAATACATTTTTTCATTATTTCTTAACATTGTATCCTCAGATAGATGCAGCAATTTTTTTCTGTTAAAGCCCAAAGGTTCGAAGAGCTGTAGTTAAAAACCACACTCATGTTTAAAACATTGCAGAAAGTAGGAGTGTGTTATATAGTGAAATGTGGAAGGCTTACACCTGACCAAATATGACACAAGTTTGTTGCCAACAATGTTTCGAGGAAATGCTGCTCATCTGTCTTTGTCTAGAGTTATTGGTATCAGATGCTGCTTTTCCATCTTTCCCAAGAAATTCTGTTATCTATGTCAGCACTGAAACATGGGCCATAAAACCTCTAGGACACTTTAATCATTCTTTGGTTTTATCATATCTGGCTCTGTTTATCAAATTTATAAATAGACTACAGTAGCTTTCCCAAGCAAGTAGGAGCATGCTGAGTTTTCTCTTGTGGGGGGAAAAATAGTGAATGCTATTTTTTCAGGAAAGAAGCACATGCTTGCCTGCAACAGTGCTGGTAAGGAGTTTTCAGCATTAAAAACCATGTGTTGAATGGTGCCTATGTTAACTGAGCAGTAGTTTCCCAAAATCATCAGTGTTGCAGAAAAGATTGCCTAACTTGAAAGGTCTCTGAGGGTAAGGAACCTTAACACTAGCAACCACCATATAGTCTGAAGGCAAAACTTCCCACCTTTCACTTTGGTTTTCCTGTGTTCTGCCCAGGTTATCAGAATAGTGGTATCACTACTCATTCATAGAGGATTTGTGTCAGATTATTTCTTATTGCTGCTGAAAGACCTTCCTGATTATTGTTTTTCAAGGCCAAATAAAAATGCAAATGTCATGAGAAGTTTCACTAAGATTTTCCTCAAAATGTTGTTTTAATTGCTATAGATTTCTCAGCTTAGAATTTTCACCAGTTAACACGGTGTGGTTCAGTATGGCTATTTTTTGTTGGGTTTTGGGGGGAGGCTGGATTTTTTTTTTTTTTGCTAAGATAATTTGGAACTAGTTGAGTGCCTTGTATTATATGTTAATGCTGATTTTTGTTTTAGGATTAAAATGGCTGTGGTCTGTTACAAGGTCAGCCATGCAGGAGCATTTCTGAAGAACTGAGATAGGAAATGTGGTGTTGAAAGATCCAAGCAGAGACTTTCACAGCTTTCTGTGGTGGGGAGGTTTCAGGATCAGTGTCTCTCAAATGAAAATACTTCGTGTCTTTTATCTTTATCTTTGCATAAAAAGAGGAACAACACAGTTGTATTTTTGGCACCCAGTTTTGCAGGTCAAAACATTTAGCACATAGGCAATCCTGTTTGTGTGCAGATTCATCTGAGAACTTCTCCAAGCTTAGACTGTAGACTTGTTATGCTGTTCCCAAAGGTTTTGTACAGAGCATTGCAACTTGCTTAAGCAAGTACTTTTACCTTGAAGTATTTTTTGTTTCTGGCCAGAACCCAGTTATTTCATACCGATAGAAATTCTGTGGGGAGCTTTTGAAGGCAAATTATGGTGATCAACTATTAAAGAGGATTTTTAATAGCTATTATGCTGCAAACTGAGAGATGCAAGTTGATGTATCAGCTATTTGAATATGCCTGCTCCAATGCTTAAGAAATTGAAATAGCAAACTGACTTCAATTTCCACTTTGCATTTCCAGTCCTTCTGCATTGTTTGTGTAGGAGAATGAAGGCAGCATAGACTATTGCACAATGTATATTTAATTTTGCTCAGGGAGATCTGTCAAACTTTCTGATGTTCTTGAACCTTTTTAGCAGCATATAGAAAAGCAGGAGACTCCTCTGTTTCTTAGCTTTGAAAAGTCATGGAAATAAAAAAATTAAAATAAAATTAGGTATTAAATAAAAATTTTAAAAGGTATTGAAAAATTGCTAACCAGAAGGGAATACAGTAAAAAAGAAAAAACACAACAACAACAACAACAAAACCCTAAACCCATCATAAAAACAAACAAAAAAACCCACGAAGCAACAACCAAAAAAACCCCACCAAGCCAAACAAGAATGTATAAATACCAGGCAGCTTAAGGCAAGGATTTTAGCTGTATTTGATCCAGAAGGGCCTGTCCTTCCTCCTCTTCCCCAACACACTCCTTTTTGGTGACAAATTCTCATTTCCCTCGTTGGCAGCCAGCTGTACATACTTTTGGCTCCATACCATCTGTGCTGGGTTATGCATTACAGGTTGTACTGCACACTGTTATTTGTGTAATAATACATAATTAGCAAACTACCAAATTTTTATTATTTGATTCTGGATACTTCCCAGAGTATCTCTGTTTTCTTAAAGCCCAAAATTTCTGTTATTGATCTAGTAGTGACAATTCTGGTATACTTCTTTGCCAATTTGAATTTGCTTTGAGAGTTCAACCTGAAAAATAATTTTCATGTCAGTAGTGGGCTCAGTCTAAAGGATTTCTTTCAGGTTTTGACAGCAGCTAGCCAAGGAACAAATGGAAAAGCTTATGAAAGAAAAACCTTAAGCTGAGTGAAATACCATAAGGCTAGCCTTCTGGTGAGATATTTCAGACAAAATATACTTTACAGAATATGTTAAAAAAAAAATAAAAAAAATTAACCAACAAATTGCCTAACAGTATGATTAATAGTGTTTGTAAGTACTGTTATGGCCACAGTCATGAGTGAATTCTCCTCTTCCTAAAGCAATTGTGAAACTGAGGTGTTACTTTTTGAAGATGTCAAATGATTCAGATGCTGGTTGTGCTTTCAGAAAATCTGTTGTGACTCAATGTATTTCTGTGTCTCTAATGGATTTTTGATCACTCCAGCAGAGTATTCCTGTTAGTGACTATGCAAAACCAAAAAAAAAAAAATCCCATTTTTTGTTTAACTCTTGCTTATTATTTTAAAAAATTCTGATGACTTTTCAGTTCTCTTTGAGCCTGAAAGAGCCTCTGTGATCTCTGTCATTTAATTATGACTTGATAGCATCTGAGACAATGCATACTGAAGGTCTACAATTAAGTTTTGGGTTTGGTTTAGGTTGATCCTGGCCTCTTGATATTATATTTCAAATGTGAATTTGCACACAAATGTACAAGAAAAATGATCTGTTGAGTTTGGAATTTTTTCTATGTGCTATAGCTCAAAATCTAATTGTATTGGTTAGAAATTTCCTCTCATGCACATATATGGTAAACACTGCTACCATTTTCATGTTTTGCTGGATTTGCTAAACAATTGTTAACAATTCACTAGTTTAAGTTAAAATAAACTCATTTAGTATGACCGGTTTATTCAGCTGAAATATTAAATGAAGCTGGTCAATATGTGTTTGCAACAAAATGTGTTTTGTTGACACTAGCACCTTTATTATTCTTGTCTTTTCCCTACCTATACAAGCAGTATTAAACCACTCTCTGGTCAATTTTTAGAGGTCTGTCTTGCTACCTTTTCAACTGGCACAAGGCAAAAAAATGTAAAAAAAAATTGAAGATGTGTACAGGTAAACAACAAGATTTGATTTTCTTGAACTGATGATGGAAAAGTTGATCTGGTTCCATTGGGAAAATCATTCCTGAAGGATATATATAACTATAAAAATACAAGCAAGGCTGGTGATTGTGTAATGCCATGAAGTAATGCAGTGTTTGGTAATGTTCTATAAATAGCTGACACATAGACAGAGTCGATAATTTGTCACATATTTCAACCTTGGCTTTTTCTGTGATTTGATCATTGTTTTCCTTGTAATCCTTAGGTGCTGCAGTAGCTGGAATCTACAGAGTAGCAGGAAAGAATATGGCTCCCCTAGAAGCTCTTGTCTTTGGCGTTGGACAGACAGTACTGACTTTAATTATCTCATTTTCAAGAATTCTTGCAACGCTTTGAAACTCATGTAGAAAGGGGGGAGAAAAACATCTTTAATCTGAAGAGAAGCTTCCTGACAGTGGATTCATCAGCTTATGAACTCGAATTCTGTTGCAAGAGGAAGGAAGCTATGTGGAAAGTGCACTACAAATCTCGAGGCTCAGTCAAATGAGCAGGCTGTCCTCTAGTGTTGGAACTGCTGCACTCCTGCACTGCGCCTTAACGTGCCTCCATCACGGGCCAGGGGGGATCCCTGTGTGATCCAAGCAGAGATGGAGCACCTCGAGCAGCTGCCAGGCAGGTCCCTGCTTGGTGGTGGCATCACTGTCCTTAACACCTTGGAATGGAACAGAGGGACCGTCCTGAAAGTTGCTCCGTGTGCCAAACTTGGGGTTTAATTCTGAGCGGGTGGCTGGGTAAGCTCTGGAATGTAGAAGAATTCTGTGAATGTGCACAATTCTCCTTGAATCCAGGTGAAATAGCAAGATAACTGACTTTTGTGTGTTAGAAGAATCTCTCTGAATGCTGAATATTCTTGTTCAGCATTCAAAACAACTGTTAGATCTGTTTCAAAATGTAGATTAATTTTGATGGGGTTTAAGAACCACAGCTTTAACAACCCTGATATAATTAGCACTGTGTGAAGAATGGCTCGTGGCAGTTTTGTTCCTTGGCACATTTCTTTGTGAGGTTAGCCTGTCAGAAATCAGGAGTTCAAGGTGACTATATGAAGGTTATTAAGTACAAGCTGTTGTGTATGCACAAACAAATCTTAAGCTGATATTTTCCTTGAAATTACTTTGTCTTAAGCATACACATGGCTACCAGCCCTTCTGCAAACCTCAGAAAAAGGGTATTCATTGCAAATACACTCCCTATATTTAATTAAGCACTGGTAGGACCCTTACCCCTACATGTATTCTGTAAGGAAAACATAAATACAGCAAACTCTCAGAGGAAACTTATGAGGAAAATGGAAAGGGTTAACAATATGATATCTTGGTTTTCTACTGAACAAAAATATTAAGTGTAATAAAATAGTTACCGTACTCCAAAAATTTGTAAGTGGGGCAGCACTAATGTATTTACTACCTTGTTTCTGAACACTTTGTATCTTTGGAAAGTTCAAGATACCTGGAACTTTCAAATACTTAGCTTTTAGTGGTTTGTGCTTTTCTAGTTTAAAAGGGACTGAGTGGTGTTGTGCATGTGAAATGTCATAAATGTGAGTGTTTGGAGTAAAGAGAAATTTTAAGTCTAATGACTAATTATTTATGAAATACAAAATTTAAAGGGCATAAAGTTCTGTGAAAAATGAGGAATCTTTTACATCTTTTTTCAGCTTAATGCTTTTCAGCAGTTGTCTCTTAATGATGACGGGGAATAAATCACTCAAAAGTTTTGCTGTTATGATGTCAAAAAGACTTTCAGGACTGTCACAAACACTGGTATCTACTGCACACCTAAAAGAATATGTTTAAAATATAACTTGCAATCCAGTCATTGCTTAGTACTTTAAAATATAATGAACTAACATGTCTGCCTTTATGTTATTCCACATTTCTTTAAAGTACTAGGAATGCTAATAGTATTTGTTTTCTTTAAAAGAATCAAAGTCTTGTTTGGAAAACATACAAGGTTATGGGCTTTGTAGGGAACAAGTTAAAGTATAGTTTTATAAATATTTTCAGTGTTATTTTTACTTTTAATTGCTTCAAAAATGTGGCTGAAGACATATACTGTCACTGGTTTTGAATGTCTTCAAAAACTTTCCTGTGGTTTGCTTTTTTGTCTTTTGTCTTTTACTTTTTTGCTCATAATTTTTGGCACATGACCATTGCACTTTAATATACAATGAAATTATGACATCTGTAACAAGCAATTGAAACTTCCCCCATTGTCTTAAATTGTGAGAAAACTGGTTTCAAGTATTAAGTCAAATTGAATAATAAAGTGATTGAAGATATTTTTCCTAATGTGCCTTGTTACATATATGTTTAGGTGAGAGGATTTAAAAAAAATTGTCACATCTTCATTCTTGTTCTATTTTGATTTCTATTTCTAATTAATATGGTTACTTGATACAGTGTCTTGTTCAACAGAGTTTAAAGCATTTTATTTGACAACCTGGAAATACTTGTCTGGATCAAAACCAAACACATCACGAAACACTCACTGTGTTCAGTAATTTAGATTGTCTCATGCCTTTATCTCATACTGAAATTTATTCACAGGTTCCAAATTTCCTTGGACATCTCAATTCTTAATTTTTGTAGCAGGCTATTATGCTGCCACTGGCCAATGGCTGGCTGTCTTTCACTAAGTTGTACTACAGCAGGCTGCTGCCAACTGCTGAGATACATGCACTTATATTGATGAACTTCATTCTTCATTTTAATTACTGTGCCAATGAAGTTGTTGCCATTGTAACTCTCCTCCTTGGACAAGGAGGCATCTTTGCAGGTTTTAAGCTACCTTTCTCCAAATAATTTTTATTGCATAGGTACTTGTATTCACTTTTAAAATGTTGTTGTGTGCTTAGCTCTCTCTGCATTGTATGGCATTATTGCCTGGCAAGAGGGGACAGGCAGATAATGTAATGCTTAAGTGGCCTAACAGGGACAAGGCTTATTTGATAGAAGTTTGTTTTCAGCTGTTTCTTGTGAGGAGTTTATAATGATGAAAAGTTTGTCTGTGAAGTGTTCTTTGATCACAGCATGAACGTACTGCTTAATAACTCTAGCAGTGAAAGAAAGTGTAAGTGGCCTTATGTCTGCAAAACTTGGAACTTTCATTCCATATCCCTAGAAACAGTGTTGTTAAGCATAAGGTGCTTTGGTGCTTTAGTCAGTGTTTGTGTGTGTGTCTGTGTGTGTATATATATATATATATATATATATATATATATATATATATATATATATATATATATATATATATATTTGAATGAATGAATGGTGGCTTTGTGGAGTGTGTTTTATACCTGACACTTGCTAACAACTGAAATAGCTTTTCCAATAGAAAATAGAATTACTTTAGCTAGCCTCCCCTCCCCCATCCCCTCTTAATGAAGCTACAAAGGCATCTTGTGTGTGAATGGCACTGATGGTACCCTGGTTCACCCTTGGACAATGCAGTGTTGTCCACACAGGATGTTTTAGCACTATCTTCAATCAGCTCTGCCTGTCTCTGCATTGTATCAAAGTGCACATTCTGCATTCTGCAGAACAAATAATGCATCGACACAGTTTAATATTTGGAAGAAGGGGGAGTACTGAATATATTATTTAATGTGGAAAAGCTACTGGTTTTTTTAGAAGCTGCTGCTATCAAAGATTTAAACATTCCACACACTTTTGATTTATCAGTATGATCATAGACTTGTGAAATACCAGGTTGGAGGGGACCTCAACCATGGTCCGGTCCAACCTTTCCTGTCAATAGCATGGTCTAGACAAGGTAGCCCAGCACCCTGAGCAGCCAAGTCTTTCAAGTGTCCAGTACTGGGGAGTCCAACACTTCCCTGTGATTTTGTTCCAATGGCATTATTCCAGTGTCCAACTGGAATATCACAAAGTAATTTGTATGCATTACCCTACATCTTTTCTATGTGACTGCTTGTAAAAAGGGAGTCTCTTCTTTGTAGCCACCCTTTGAAAATTGGAATATGATGATAAAGGCTCCATTAAGCCTTGTTTCTTCAAGGCAGAATCAACCCAGTTCTTTGCCTTTCCTCATATGTCAGGCTTCCCAGACCTTTGATTATCCCCGTGGCATTTCTCTGGACCCTTTCCAGCCCGTCCATGGTTTTGTGTGTTTTTTGCATGTCAGGGACCAAAGCTGAGCACAGAGAACCCAGTATTGCAAGTGTGGCCTGTCAAGAGGCTGAGTGAGATAATGGTGATTTTCTCTGCTGGCAATGCCCTTGTTGATCCAGTCCATCATGTCAATGATCCTATTAGCTTCCTTTGCCATAACTGCACACTGCTCACTCACATGGAGCTGCTTGTTCACCAGGACCCCCAGATCCCTTTCCACAGAGCTGCTCCTCAGACAGGTCCATCCCAGCCTGTGCTGCACTCCTGCATTGTGTTTTGCCAGGTGCAAGATCTTACCCTTGTCCTTGTTGAACTTCCTAAAGTTCGCTGTACATCCTATCAATGTCCTTTTAGTTCTCAGTGTGTATTTTTCTGCTTTTCCATCTCTGGTACACTTCTCTTCTGGATTTGAGCAAATTCAGAGGTTCACAGTTAAACCAAGGAGGTCTCTTGCTCTGCCTCTTTCCTGACCTTAAAGGGGATGAATTGGTTTAGTGTTTCCAGGAGACTGTTGGTGAAGAACTCCCAGTACTTTATCCTCCATAGCAACGCTTCCCATGGGCTATGAGCATAGTGAAGTTTGCTCTTCTAAATCTAAAATGTTTGTTTTAACACTGACCTTCAGCATGCTCAGCAGGATCCCAGTACTGTGACCATGGCAGCCGAGGCTGTCCCTGATTGGAATTTTACAAAGCAGGTTTCCTTGGCTTGTAAGTAGCAAGTCCAGCAGTGCCCCATCCTTGATTGGCACATCTAACCATCTTTATTCCAAATATGTCCTCTACATACTCCAGGAACGTGATGGATAACATGTGGGATGCTGTATTGTTCTTCCAACAAGTGTCTAGGCAGCCAAAATCACACATAGAACCAGGTTCTGTTGACCCGAAGCTTTCTTAGGCGACCCAAATTGTGTTTAATTGGTGTTATTTCCTTGGTTTGGAGGTCAGTAGCAGATGCCTACTTGGAGATTCCCCTTGGAGATGACCTCTCTGACCTTGACTCAGGCATTCAACTGAGCTCCCACAATCTCTGTAGGCATATACTAGAGGAGGTTGCTCTTTGGGTTTTCATCTTGGGAAGCAGCTGAGGAGCATTTGGCACTGCTCTGATTGGCTTGACTTATTCCTCAGATCAAAAAATTCTGTTTTGATTCAAAACCTGCAGCTGTATTTCAGGGAAAAAAGCTTCCAATAATTATTGTCTTTAAATTTCTGGGTAATTTTGAATTTATGAAACTAAGCTGTGTGCTGTGGCTAGCCATGACTTGCTGTTGACGTTTTTTTTGAAGACACCAATAATTTAACCAGTTTTGAACATTGAACGTGGATGGAAAGCTTGTCTAAACTTGTCTAAAGTAGCTTTCTATTTTTGAAGTACACTGTTTTGATTTTGATAAATAAAATAGTGTTGCTGTCTCAACATATTGTACATTTATATTTATTTAGTTTACAATTTGTATTTGAGTTCTGTTGTGGGGAGCACATATATAATGAGGAACTGTAATGGAGTTTGAGCTCTAATAGCTATAAGAACTGGGTTTTTTTGTTTTAATTTATGTATTTCATGCACTAGGCGTATTTTAATAATGCATTGCCTGCATTAAATCTAAGTATTTATATCATGAGCATATTAAACTGGATGTTTTTGTACACAGCCATCCAACATCACATGTGTATAATTCCAGAGACACAGCAGTATTGCCTGGTGTAGTGAATTGTGGATTAATCAGTTAGCCTCCCTCCCCAGAAAGTCTGTGATTCTAATAAGGCCCAGAAATGCAATTGTGAACCTGAGGATGCTTTTCAGTTGCTCTTCTGTTTCTAGAAATAGGGTTTTTATCATATGTGTATTTCAGTTAAGGGGAAAAACATGGAGATAGGTCACAGTTGTCATCCTAATAACCAATCTAATTCCAAGCAATTTGAGACAAAATGAAATTCTGAATGTTGTTCATAAATTATGGTGGAGTATTACATACACAAAAATGCTAAAGCATAACTTTTTTTTCAGAGTTACCAAAATTTTACTTACAATTGCATCGGCATATTGATGGGATACCTTTTGAATCATAACTTTTTTTTTGGTCTTTAGATTGGGAGCAGCCCAAGGTGGAAAGACTGTTCTAATCCTCAGCTGAAGTAATAAATGTTGTTTGAGTAGAGATGAATTTAACAGAGCTGAACATTTGTCTCGGGCTAATGGTCAGATATTTGGTGGAGACATTGGTCACCACCATCACAACCTTCAAAGTCAGTGGGAAAAGTATTCTCTGTTACAGCAGTGAAATCTTCATCTGGGTTCATTAATTTGTGTGTGAAGCTGCACATAATTTTGGGAAAATGAAGTTATCATAGAAAGTAGAATTCAACCTGAGTACATACATTTGATATCCTAAAATTGTGACATATTATATCCTGAAGCATGCTGTTTTCTGCTGTTTCCCACAATTGTGCCTGAAATTACACATGAAATTCAGGCTGTGCATTAATTCTAAATGGAACCACAGGGACATCTCAAAGCCTGTGAAGATTACTGCTTGGGGTATTCTCCCAGTGTAGCAGGTATAAAAACAATTGTGTCCTAAAAAATGATCTAAAGAAATATTTTCTTTCAGGAACACACATTTTGTCACTTCTGATTGCTCATCTTGTAGTTACTGAAGACTTTAGGAAGCTACTGCATGAATCCTAGCAGGATTTGATAGCTGTTGAAGGGAATGGATAATATGTCCTTTTGTGCTTCTTCTGTGGACCAAAACACCAACTCTAAGGCAAAGTAAATACTGAAGAGACATTTTCAGTGAAATAAACAATACTTGATTGATAAAAATGGCATTCCTTTTGTTTTGAGACTTAACTCTCTAGGCTTACTTGAGAAATTTAGTATCAATACTGTAAAATCCATTTTGGATTATCCACCTATATAAGGTATATGGGAGCTAAAAATCTAAAACCTTTTAAAATTACTTGGCTAGAAGTTTTACTTGTTTGAGATGTGCCTAAATTTTATACAGATAATGAAGTTCTGAAGGTCCTTAATATTTTGGGTGTTTTAGAGGATAATCAGGTATCTATAGAACTAAACTTTTGACTGTGACAATATATAGAATCTTCATAAGTGCTTACAGAAGCCACTAAGAATAAAT